TTTCAGTTTTGATATTTTATATTATAAAAAATTGTAATTGAAAACATAAATGTGTACAAAACTATATATGCGTATTGAGCAATGGCAACATTGTTGAAATGTAAACAAGCGCCACTAAAACAAACGTCAAATGAAAAATTTATTGGATTCAAAAAGAAAAATAGGTGTGTGGAAATAAAGAAAATATGGACAACGAAAAGTGAATAGCTCTAGTTGAGACTAGAAAGCCTAGATTGACCTAGCTTTCCACTACTAGCGCGGTTAACCAGAAAATATTAGAAGCCATCGAGATTTTTAAAAATAAATGGTCAACACAACCAACCCTGCAGATCCAACAACAACAGTCATCAAGTCCGGCTGTGCAAGCATTCAGCACTTTAATCGTGTACCTAGGGCAATACACAGTGGATCCGCTTGTATGGAACAGCGGCCAAAAATACTTTAATACTTTTCTTGGCATAGCGGGTTGAAATTCTTTCCAAAAAAAAAAAAAATAAGATAAGAAATTATAAAAAAATTTGACAAATCAAACGACTATATCCAATAGTTCCCATAGGAATGATCGAAACAAACTTAATAATTTTTTGTTTTTGATAAAATTGAAATTATTATTTTTTATCTACATTGCAGTTATATTTTTAGAAAAATGTTGTTTTACATATACATACATAGATGTGTATAAGAGACAGGTTTAAAGAATATTGGACATTTAGGAGACAATTGGTTTACATTTTGTTTCAATCATGTGTGGTTGATTTTTTTGATTTTTGGCCTCTGACGGATCCACTGTGCAATGGTTTTCAAAACAACCAACAGCTATGGCGGCAAACGTGAATATAAATTTATTTACTAAAATTTTTTTAGATTTATGTGAAAGTGGCCGCAGCAACTCCTCGATAATCATTAAGAATCATTTGAAAAACAAGAGAAAAAAGCATAAAGCGGCATTGCTTGGATTGTTCAATGGAAAAAAAATTGAGCATCACAAAAAATAGAGATGCGCCCTATGCTCAATGTATGCGCTGTCTCTTATACACATCTAGATGTGTATAAGAGACAGCTTTTCCATCTACCATAGTAAGGTGCAAGTTATGTGTAATAACTATTTTTCTATTAGGTCTACAGTAACGAGTCGATGATGGTCGGGGGTTTTTCCAAATTATTTGATAATCTATTTGCGAAACTAGTTGGAGAGGTACGTATGATGTTACAAATAAGCTTCWATCGTTCAAATCACTGGATGAAAACTTTTGCTTATACTCGCTATGTAACGTACATCCGACAAAG